TGGGTTCACATCCTAGGACCTCCCTCCTCACGCCAATGGAGATGGGAGGTGGGTGGTGGCAGGGAGGCACTGCTGGGGGTTCCCCCCCTCTCCTATCTCCCTCACTCTCCCCCTCAATAAATAAAAATAAATAAATAAACATTTGTAAGGTTGCAAGGTGTGTTTGCGTGTTTAAATACTTCAGAGATTTAGAGCTGGAAACAGAACTTGGGCTTTGGACTGGTTTGATTTTTGCTTTTAAAGGTGGCTTCAAGGCAGATCAGATTATTTAATACACTTTATCTTAAAGACAGGAGCTATTGAACTGTGGGGAAATCACTGATCTGTGATCTAAAGTGGAGCTCCGAATTCCCTGCTGTTGGCAGCCGATCTGTGGCAGCATGGATATTTTATCATTTATCATACAAAGCTACTTCGCACCTGATTTTTAGATTCCACTTTTAATCATGAAGCCTTCCACTTTTCATCTATAGGCAAATTACTTACCTGGATGGGTAGATAAGGCAGCTCAGTGATGCTGTGAATTTCTTTTTTAGAGAGACTTTTTCGTTATAGGCTTTTTTGCACTTACCAAAGAGACAGAGAGAGACAGAGGGAGAGAAAATGAGAAATCACCCACCAGGGGGATGATGACGCCGCAATCCCTTCTCCCCCGTTCTCCTCTCAGGGTTTTGGACATGCACGCACACCAGCCTGGTATGATTCTCAAGCTGCCAGGTCTGAGACTCACACTGTGACCAGCCATGTGGGAGTCCAGCACCTTAGCCACTGCTCCACCTGCTGCCCGGAAGTCATGAATTTCAATCTCTGACATAATTGTCTACTTTTGTAACACAATTTTTATCAGCATTTTTCAGGGAAACGAACCGGTAATTATTTGAGAATAATCGTGAGTTTGTGAATGGTGTTACCGCATCAGACCTGAGCATCGCATGGCCACACCCCTGTTGGAAATGCTGTAAGGAGTGAGTAAAACTCCAGCGTTTACCCAAAGGAGGTTAACCCAGGTCTGGGCCATCTGGAGAAGTAGTTCAAAACCTTCCACATCGTCTGCTTGATCTTTAAAATGCATGCACATTTTGCATTCAACTTTAAATTTGTTCATGTTTGTTTTAAAAATAAAAAGAGTTTTAACCCAAAACTTTGAGTAAGGTTGATGGTCCCTTGTCCCTAAGCACACCAGCCTGCCTCTGGGAATGAAAGAGCACCTATCTGAGAAGACCCGGAAGGCTGGAAACAAAGGATCTAGGTCGACACACACATGGGACTGTGCAATTAGACACTGCTGTGTGTTTTTAGCAAACAGCCTCAGTTTTCATGCGGCGATACTGAAAAGGGAAAGGCAGAATTTGAATAATATGGTGGAGAGCAGAAGCCAGGGGAGCCATGTCCACTGAGCTAGATGTCTTTGTATTGCTAAAACGAAAGTCTCCCTCAAAGGTGGAAAAAGCTGACCTTCACTCTGGCTTAATTGTACTTTGGGAGACATGCAATGGGGGTTTGACTTTGCACTTGTAACTTTTCAAAAAGCAGGAGTAAAAAGAAAATGAGAATGAGAGCAGGAGGGAGCCTTCTGAGTTAACCCCAGAGCCCTTAACTGAACTCCAAGAGCTTTCTCGGGGCTCTCCGGAATATTTTGCATGTCACCAACAGAGTTGGTTCGGAATGTCTTGGGCCATTTGAGGAGTCGGCTTTACTGTGGAGATGTGTGTATGAGACAAACACAGGGAAATTGCCAAAGCTCCCGGGAGAGAGGGGATCAGGGCGCAGCACAGAGGAGGCAGACTAGCAGGCAGGTACCAGACGAGCTGGAGGAAGGGGATGCCGCCAACCTGAGAGATTAGTGCTCTCCCAGAGGTGCCCCAAGCCTCAGGTCATTCCAGGTGACACTCTCTGCTCTGAGTCTCCCAGTCATTGTCACATTAATAAACCAGAGAGGGTCTGAGTGCGGCAGCTGTCTCAACCTTGAATACGCCTCTGTGACTCACCTGCAGCGAGCACTCAGGATATCAGACCTTCCAAAGGTGGGCAAGCGTTTTCACTCCCTAGAGAATGCTTATCAGAGTCACTGCTGCCTTCATTTTCATATCATCCATCTGGTGCTTAGATGACTTTGTAAAGAAAAAAATAAAAAATGAGAGAAAAGCCAAGAATTTAGGTAGAATTTTGTGGAGTTTTAAATGATGTGTGTCTTCCTTCTAAACTTAGTAGCTTCTAAAAAAAAAATTATGTATGTCCACAGACAGTCTCTTTTTCTTGCCAGAGGGTGCATGTGCTTGCCAAGGAGAAACAGAGCCAGAGAGTGAGGGAGAGGGAGCAAGCATCCCCCAATGTTGCACGGTCAGGCCACCATCCCTTCTCCTCCATTTCCCCATCCTATTGGGATTTTCAACATGCTAGCACATGTGTCTGGCATGCTTTTCAAGCTGATGGGGCAGGGATTTGAACCGCAGTTGGTCCCGTATGATTGTCTTCCTTCAACCACTGAGCTACAGAGTCACTGTACAGGCCTTTTATTGATACAGTAAATATGAAGAACCTTCTTTGCCAATACTCTGAATAGCTAGCAAAGGAATCATTAAATAATCAAAATATGTATGTTGTTAAAAAGAAGGAATCAATATCCTATCCTTTGTTACAATTGTATGTTTAAGCTCATTTTGGTCTTATATAAAATTTGCAGTTTACAGGACCACCAGTTGACGTAATGGCTATGTCACTGGACTCCCATGTAGCCAACCACAGTTTGAGTCCCGGACCTGGTGGCTTAAACTCATGCCAGGCGCGCATGTGTGGATGTCCAAGATCTCGAGAGGAGAATGGAAGAGAAGGGATTGTGGCGTGACCGTCCCCGCTGGGGGATGATTTCTCGCTTTCTGTCTCTCTGTCTCTCTCTGTCTTTCTGGCGAGTACACAAGCCCTGTAGCAAAAAAACTCTCAAAAAAATTGCAATTTAATCTTGCACCTTTTTATAGAGGTTTTAGCTTTAGGGCACACATGCTCTCCAGAGAGAGAGAGAGAGACAGAGACAGTAAGAGGAAAAGGGAGAAATCTCTCTCTCCCAGGGAGATGGCCATGCTGCAATCCCTTTTCTTCCATTCTCTCCTGGGACTTTGGGCATGCATACACACACATGCCTGGTTTGAGTTTCAAGTCACCATGTCCAGGACTCAAACTGTGGTCGGCCATGTGGGAGTCCAGGAGCATAACGATTACACCATCTACTGGCCCCAATCCTATCCCTTTTAAAATATATACATTGTAATGCACACACTCCAGACTTCTAATTCTGCAAGTTATAATCTTCATTGTCTCCTCAAGTAATATTTTAAGGGGAAAAGCTGGGTGTTGACATTTGTAGACTGGAATTGGGAACCAGAGACTTCCATAGCGGTTCATGGTTGTTCCAAGCAGGCAGGTTCAGCCCTGTGCAGGGTGCATCCAGTCTGCCGAGTCTGTCACGGCCTTCACCCAAGCTGAAGTTTGGAAAAGAACAACTCACAACATTAAGGAATTTTATGATTGTTCCCTTAAACGAGCACTTTCAGAATTCAGTGGCAGGGCCTGAGACTGTCATCTCTGAACTGCTAGTTCACCTCCTCTTCTCACTGTCAATCAGTCAGTGGGGAGAGCAGATGCAGACTGGGAAGGAGTGGGCTCTCCAGTGTGAAGAGGGCTGGTGCCTCTGGACCAGTCGAGCTCTGACTCACCAGTCCTGACCATGTCTTCACTCTGGTTCTTTATCAGCAAGTGAGACCCTAAGGACAAAGACCCAGCAGAGGTCAATAATCTCCTATAGCACTTGATGCCAAGCCCCATTCCATACACCACCCAGGTCTGCAGGACAGGCCTACATCCCCAAGATACACCTCACATTGGGGCCTTGGGACAGATGTGCCGAGATTGGCCTGCAAGCTGAAGCTAGGGGCACCTGCTTCAAGGTGAGGAGATGGTACAGTAATCTCTTCATAGGCCCCCTTAAGCTAAAACCAAGAGTCCTAGAGATTCTCAATCAGCTTGATGGGAACACCCAGTGCCAACTCACGACTTCGAGAATCCAGAAAGAACAAAGAACGAGAGTAAATCCACATGATCACAGACAAGACTTTGAACAAGTGATACCGAGTTCTCTATTTTCCCTTCTTCAGTACAGATTATCTTCTGAAAAGTGGCTATTGTGTGGGTTTGGTTGGCACTTATTTTTAAAATTATTTTCTGTAAATATGCAATGCATGCAAGGTAACTCAGAAGGATTTTTCTGCCTTTGAATAAATACTCATAGTTGTTTCTGAATAAAACCTTCCTAGAAGCTAATGAGAACAAGGACTCTGGCTGTGTGGATTAAACCACTCCATATATTAAGCAATGATGGAAAATAAAACATTTTTGCAACCTGGTTTGCAAGTATCTACTGAACTGCAGGTGACTCACATAACAATTATGTTCTGAAATTTCCCAGGAAGGCAATTCATTACATAAGGGAGACCTTGGAGCCTATGCTATGGTGCTATGTCCAGTCTCCTCCCTAATAAACAGCTTTCTGGAAATCCCTAAATAACAGTAATATGCGGAGATACAACCGTTTAGCTGTATAATTTGCTAAATGGAAACACATTATAATTACAACAGTAAACAGCCATTGACTTATTATCGTATTGCTTTACTCTCCCCTCTTTAATAAATGCTTTTTGCAGATTTGAATGTGAAAAAGCATTGTTTGCATAAATAGTTACAAAGGACCTATAATATTACGGTCATTGTGTTTGTCGATTTCCATTTCTCTAAACAGGACCCCTTACTCCCACCAACAGGTCCTCAATTATGGGGAAAGACATTTGGTTGCTAAAAGCTTGTCGTAATCAATACTTGCCCAATGAAATCACAACCCTGCTGTCTTCGTTGGTAGAGAAATAACTGTGATTAAGCGTGTTTGTGTCAAAGCATGAGGATCCATTTCAGTGCTTGATTTTGCTCATCTCCCATTTTCCTTCTTCTTACAGGTTTTTAAAAACATTGGCTCTGATGAGACTGTCCAAGGGCAAGGAAGTCGGAGGCTGATCAGCTTCTCCCTCTCAGGTAAGTTCCGCTCACCTGGAGGCCTTGCGGAGAGAATGGGAATGAACGTCAACCACAGTCAGGAGACTCGCAGCAATTGGACGCTCACAGACAAGCTATTCAGCCATGCTGTGCCTCAATCTCTTTATCTATACAGCAAAAGTAAAAATTATTTTTCACTTAATCCCTTCCACTTGACCTCAGGATAATGGAGAATTTAATAACTAATAGATGCAGAAGCACTTTGACATAAAGGGAAGCGAAGCTACTCTTCTGCTTTTCCTCTGGAGTGTAATAGGAAAAGCAGCTATTCAGCCCCTTACCTAAATTAAAACTCACATGGAGCCCAGCTGGTAAAACCCTTTAAAAACCAAGCTTCTCGAAAAGCGTGCTATTCGTGGAAAGAATGAATTGAATCCAAATAAAGTCTATTAATTTAGTTAATAACATTTTAGTCTACTAATTAAAAGTTAATAGTTAATTTTTTTAATTTTCATGAATGTGCCATGGTTCTGTAATATGTCAACAATAGGGCACACTGGGTAAAGGCATATGTGAAGACTTTGTAGTATCTTTGGCATTCTTCTACAAATCTAAAATTCCTTCAAGATTAAAAAGCTAAAAGGAACACTGAGTTATTCTGGCTAAAAGAACATGCCAGGCTCAGGGCTTCGTACACTTAAATCTACCCAAACTGATTGTTCTAGCCTACTGTTACTAATAATAGAAATAACTGAGTCTGGATCATTTATTTTTTAATCTTTTTTTAATTGAATTTTATTTATTATTATCTTTTTTATAGTACATTGAATCGCATATATCTTCTTAAATGCATTTTAAATTTATTTTTTATCATAATCTTGTTTATATTACATTGATTCACATGTAACTTTACAGTGTATTACATTTCTTTTTCCAGAAGGAATACCATGCATATCAGTCAATACAAAGTGATTAAAATCCTCATCATCATCATCCAATAGCTTTTCGTTATTTTTTCCAGATTATTATTATTATTATTATTCCAATTATTTTTCAAACATTCCATCACTAGAGTCTGGATAATTTTTTTTTAAAAAAAAGATTTATTTAGCTCATAGTTCTGAAGGTCTAAGGTCAAGAGACCATGCCTGATGATACCTTTCATGTTGGCAGAGCCTCAGGATGGCACAGAGCATCCATCATATGGCAAGAGCTTGAGCAGGAGTGGAGCATGTGTCCCTTATATACTGATGAGAATCCAATTATAGAGCCCCGCCCTGATGCCTAATCCCCTCCCCAAAATCCCTCCTTGTAACACCACATTCAAATGAGGTCTTCGCACTCTCAACACCATTACAATGTCTTACCTTGTTTCATCATGTGAATTCTGAAGGAGCACAGTCAAATCGTAGCACTGGTCTTTAAGAGGCTCCGTGGCATGAAGCTCAAGGATTCCATTGAGCGTAGTTTTAAATTACTGCCTTAGCCTGTAAAACCAACCAATGTTGCAAGAGTCAAAGCATGAAGTGCATGAGCCTCCCTGGAAGATGGACAGTCGACTGGGGTTTGTCAAGTCCAAGTGAGCCCAGTAAAGCCAACGTGTGGCTACAGATTCGTTGACAATATTAGCATATGTCTTTCTAGAGAAACAGAAAGCGGAGAAGATATAAACTCATTAATTTTGTATTACTAGGGCAAAACCTGACAACTATTGATTTCCATTCTCATGTTCCTACTGAATAATGATTGCTAGTACCAACTTTTAAAACCAGTGGAAACCATAATACCATCATAGGATATTAGAGTGATCAGGCCCAACACCCAAAGATGTCCAGGTTCTCATCTCATGCTCAGGAAGAATTGGAGATGTGAACACAGAGAAGGGATAGCAAGGCAGGGTTTATTAAGGGACCGAAGGAAAAACAGAGCTCCCAAAGTAGGGAATCATCCTAAATGAGTGGCCAAGAGGAACTGAGGTAAGGGGTTTTATTCAGCAGCCTGAGCAGTGGGCTGGCTCTCTGATAAGAAAGTGGGCTTCAAAAAATACTTACATGGAAGTCTGGGTGATTTATTACCTCGTTATTTGTAGGGTCAGCATACCATAATGATCTGCAATTTTAATTAGAATGTAGTTAGCAAATTGAAATCGTTGCCTTTAGAAAAAACTGTTTTGAGCCCTGGTACAGCCAACTCTTGGTTAAAATTTAGCCACTGTGACTTCCTCTTGGGTAAAGCCTATTATGTCTCTATCTTGGTCCTATTCCTTAGCTATAAGTCCCAATCCCACCTCCTACCTCAATATTACTTAACTGTGTGTTGAAACCAAGAAGAATTTTCACTAACCAATGCTCTAGTGAAATCCGGAAGCCCAAGAGCGATGTCATGCAAGGCAGACCAGAACTAGGGAAGGGACAGAATCTGTATTTACTGGTTCCCGTGTCACCTCTGCCACGAAGACACAGGTTCCCCGATCCCAACGGGGAA